GATTAAATATTGCATTTAGTAAATTTGTTTTCCTACACCCTGGTGTGCAACAGATTTCAACAAACTTTCAGAAGTGGCTGGGCCAGATATTTATTTAAATACCTGGATTTACTGGGATCAATTGATAGGAAACTCATCCATTGGTTGCTAAAAGTCTGGCAGAATACTTAGACAAATAAAACAGCAACTCCAAATGCAAGATGTTTAAGGATGAGGACTAAGAGATATTTCATTTTGAAACGTATGATTCTCAAAGCCCCAAGGAAGGTTCGATTAGATAGATTTGAGCCCCTATACTTGCTTCAATTCAGAAGTGCCAAAACAAGGGATTAGTGTTTAATTTGAGCCAACAGGTTTCTGCTAGCTGCATTCAACTCAAATTCTTCCCATTCCACCCACTTTCTTTCAACCTGGTTTAACCCTGTTTGTGCCTGACTACTAACCCAAAGGTAGGCTGTTCAAATCCACCAGTGGTGCTGCTAAAGGTCTGACCATATGTTCTCATAAAAATTGTTGTTGTCAGTTACCATAGAGTGAATTTCAACTCACAGTGACCTTATGTGTGCAGAGTAGAACTGCTTTATTGGGTTTTTTAAGCTGGGACTTTTTGTAAGCAGATTCCCAGGTCTTTCTTCTGAGGTGCCCCAAGATGAGTTTGAATAGCCAACCTTTTGGCTAATAGTCAAGCACTTAACCAGCTATGCTACCCAGAGATTCCTTCCATAAAGATTACAGCCAAGAAAATCCTTTGAAGCAGTTATATTTTATAACACACAGAATCAGTGTGAGTTTCAATCACCTCAATGGCAATGGGTTTGGTTCAGTCTGTCCTACTCTTCATCGTATCCTCACCACCATACTTACCTTAGGAGCTCTGGTAGCATAGTGCCTAAGGCACATGACTGCTAACCAGAAGGCTGGAGGTTCAAACCCACCAGTCACTCCTCAGAAGGAAGGCTGGGCAATCTACTTCTGTAGTGATACTGCCTCAGAAACCCAAGGAGGGATTGCTATGAGTGGGGTCCCACTCGACGGCACATAACAACATAGTTATTTTAGATCACCACTTCAAAATAAAAAGAGCCAATGGAACAGGAGAAGATGCCAACTAACAAGGCAAAGAAAGATTAACAGAAACTCCAGTAACTAAGAGAGTTCTTCAAGAAAATGTGAAGCAGAATTACAGACACTATTGAAATTCCAGAAATTTTATAGGGAGCTCTGGTAGCGTAGTGCCTAAGGCACTTGACTGCTAACCAGAAGGCTGGCAGTTCAAACTCACCAGCCACTTCTTGGAAGGAAGATGGGACAATCTACTTCCGTAGTGATACTACCGTGGAAACTCAAGGAGGGGTCACTATGAGTCGGGTGCGGCTCAACAGCACATAACAACAACATTCCTATATTAAGAAATAGTCCTGCCTCTCTAAATTAAACTCATGTAGGTTTCTATGCCTTCCTTCAAAGGACCCCATGTGGTAATTCCATTGGCAGGCTGTATTTACTCTCATTTTATCTAACAAGGTCTACTCCTCCATTATATACCCAGTTACCAAATTTCTTGGTAACTAGAAAAGTTGTAGACATTAATCTTTTTAATTCCTGTCTCTCCTTTCTTCACTTTTTCTCAATTTACCCACTTTATAAGCCAGATTAAGGAGCCATCGTGATGCAGCGGTTGAGCACTCAGATGCTAAATGAAAGGTCTGCGGTCCAAACCCACCAGCAGCTCCACAGGAGAAGAGACCTGGTGATCTGTTCCTATAAAGTTTACAGCTTAGGAAACTCTACAGGGTAGTTCTCTGTCCTATAGGGTGGTCACTATGAGTCAGAATCAACTTGGCAACATGCAAGAACAAGGCATGGTCCAGTTCAGAAGTGGTGATTAAAAGCCACCAGAGACAGATTGCCTTCATTTAAATCCTACCTATGCCACTCAATAGCTGGGTTCTTTTAAGCAAGACTCTTGGCCTGCCTCTCTTTCCTCACCTGGAAATCTGAGAAAATAGTATTCCCATTGGGTTACTGTGAAATTATGCACATGAAGCAATTATCACACAGCCTGGCATGCAGGGAAGTGGCCTATAATCCATTATCATTTTAGTGCCAATTTACACTGAAATATTAACCCAGGTTCAAGGAGAAACTAAAGAAGTATTATTTATGCAAAACCTTTACATGTGTTTCTCCAGGACAGAGGAAATTCCCAGGAGTTGGAGGCGGGGAGTATGTGCTCATCATCCAGAGGATTCCTTTGGTCATACGCTTCTGTAAGTATAACTCACCCTGAATAAAAATAAATACTAAGAACAAATAATGTACTTAATTTTCATTCAACTCAATCCTAAAGACAGATTCCCACCCCACTCCACCCCCAATACATTGTTTGTAAGAACTGAAGATAGCAAGAAAGAAAAACTTCAAAAAGGTCCAGGGTATTTTTGATGCAGAAAGACTTGTGAGTTGTGCATTCATCCTTGTACAAACTACTTCGACAATCTCAAGAGATTTTTCACATTATATAAAAAGTCAAGTTGTTCTTTGCTTAACATTCATTCAGGAGGTGAGATACTGTTCTCTTTTTCTCTTTGTGTTTTGAGTTTTAAAAATAATTTTATCAGTCTAGTCCAAGATCAACTTCATCCTTCATCTACAAAACTATTTATCTTTCCAAGACACCCTTGAAAAGAGTAACAGATGGGGTCCTTCCCCAAATGGAGATATAAGTCCTGTCCATCAACATCTTCTCTCACACAGAGTGAAAGACTGTATTCCCAGTATCACTTCACACCTGGAGTTTCTTTGAGAAAAGTTCAGATTCCATTTTTGACTGTTTAAATTTTCTGGACTATAAACAGTAATTTTTCACTAATTTATTTCATAGTTATAGACTTGAAATTAATTCTAAATTGGACTCCATTTATGTTTCACAGTCTTCAAATATGCAAACTGATTCCTAATCACAAAGATGGAAAAGCAGTAATTTTATCAAACATAACTGAAAAATCTACCTTTAAAAGAGAAAGCGGTACATGTGCTTGATGCACATTTGTGCATGGAATATTAATGTTCATAATAAAGTAAGAAAATTAAAGTAAGAGCGGGATTCCGACCATTCCATCTAGTAATTCCTGAATTTCAGAAAATTAAAGTCCATCAGCTCATATATCGTTTGGACAAAAGTGTTCCTATAGATTGCAACTCAACAGCATCTAAGGAAAATAATTGTTTATTATTTCATACTAGTGGGAACCAGGAGGATACAATCTCAATCATTACTGGGAAAGCTCAAGACAAACAACTTTAAAGAAAAAAAACTGCACAATAAATAATTCATCGTTGATAACTTAAAATATTAGATTAGATTTTCAAGATAGCCTAAAACTCACTTTTACAAGCATAAACATATTTACTATTACTACAGGGTCGCTATGAGTCGGAATCGATTCCATGGCAGTGGGGTTGGTTTTTGTTTTATGAAGTAACACATTTCCTTGAACCAAGTTTTTTTCTAAAAACTGAATGGAAAAAAAAAAAAAAAACCTCTGCAAATATAAAGACGTATTCCCTTAAAATTGCCCACAAAGTTTGTAAAGAAACTTGTTTTCACTTCTATGGCAATTTACAAACTTGTGAGCAAACCATTATGAAACACAAGTGTCCCACCCTCCACCAGTGTATTAAAAAAAAAGGGCAACATGCTAAGAAATTGAGGCAAATTCTCAAACAGAAAAGGAAAAATATAGAAAGCACCCGAGGAGAAATAATAGCTGAAAGCAAATAACTGAATAGCAGCCTAAAAGCAGTGAGAATTTCTAATCTATACTCGCAGCTCTTACCCTTGACAGCACAGAAGAGCGTATCCTGCCTTACACATTTTGGAATTACAATTTTGAAACGCTAAATCCAAAGACAAAGCCGCTCTGGGGAAAATAATTGCGCAACAGAGCAACAGCTCCAACTTGTCCCTTGGCCCTGGTGCGGCAAGGTTTGCACGCTATAAAGCAGGAAAGGGCCAACCGAGGGCCGCCGTGACAGCCAACCAGCCACTGTCACGGAGGCTGAGGCCACGCACGCGGCGTTTGCCACAGCGAAACATCAAGCCAGAAACGAAAGCCCCGAGCGCCTCGTACTCCGACTTCGGAGTCCGCCGCCCTCGCTCCCATTTCCCGAGAGAGGCTGCAGGGGGCGGCCCGGAGTTGAAGACCCCCCACCCCCAGCCAGGCCACCACACTTCGGGGCTACGAGTACGATGGGCAGTTCATGACTTCCTCCCTCCCCCGCGGGTTGAGCTTTCTAGCTCAAGGTTGCCAAAAACAGATCGTTTGGATTGATAGCTTGATTATTTTGCAAAGAAGCACCTACAGAAAGCGCGGTGGGGCGAGTGCGCCGCTCAGCGACTCGCGCCCGCTGAGTACTAAGACCCGGGGCGGGGGCAGCAGCAGAGGAGGGGCTCGGGGTCGCAGCCGGGCAAAAACCTCAGCTCCCCCGAGAGCGGCCCCGTGACTAGGCACATTTTTGCCGGCTCTGAGGCGGGGGAGCAGCGCAGCTGTGGAAGGACCGGGACGCGCCGGCTCTGACCGCAAACGTACGCCCCCTCCCGCTCTGCCGCCCCAGAGGCCCTCAAACCCGCGTAAGCCAGTTTAGGGTCCCGCGAACCAGCTCTGGGAACCAAAGTGCGGCCAGTGGCGTTCCCTACCCCAAGAGCACAAGTTAATCTTAGAAACTCTCCCTTACAGTGGCCCTCGGAGGCCGCGGGCACGTTGTCGGTCTGGCTACCCGACCTAGTCCCCACTCCCCTCCCGGCCCCTTGGGTCCCCGCTCCTCCCCGCCCAGACCCGGCGCAAGCGCAGCGGCTCCAGTTCGTGACCGCTGCAGTTCCGGTTCTGGCCACAGACTAGAGGAGAAACGGGCGGCGGCTATTCCTCCCAGGCCGCGGTCCCCTCCCGACCGGCCCACGTCCTGGCGCCACCGCGCGTCCCCAAGGATCGGGACAGCACCTGCTGGGACGGCAGTCCGGGTGACGGCAGCTCCAGGTCCATCATGCTGAGTTTGGGACTGTGCGCTAGGGCTCCCCGACGGCGGCCCTGTCCCGGCTGCCGAAGCGTGGACAGGGCGGCACTGGTGGCTACTCCTGCGGGCTCTCCGGCACTCGCTGCTGGGCAACACGGCCCGAGTAGCCGGCAGTGCTCTTGCCCCGCTCCGCCTCCCGCCCTCCGAGGGCGGGGCAAGAGCCCGGGCCCTTCCTTCTCCCGCTGGCCGTGCCGGCAGAGCCTCCGAAAAATCCCCCACCCCCGCCCGGACTGACGCAAGAAGCTTGAGGTCTGGGAGCGCGAAGGGGCAGCGGACGCGGGTCCCAGTGGGAGGGCGCGGGAGAGCTCGGTGCAGAGGGACGATCTCTTTTAGCTCCTTCGTCCCCGCGTTCAGTTTCCTCTCCCTCTCAAATAAAACCAGCGCTCTCCGCCCGAGAGATTAAGAATTGTTTGTCGAAGGTCGCTTGGGTTCGGGCGCGTTGGAATAGTTTAAACACTTGGAACAAATACGCCCGGAGACCAAGCAAAGGCGCAGGGAGTTGCGCCTCCCTGATTTGAAGTTGCAGAACCTTGTGCCAATTTATCTCACTCACCCGCCCAAGAGTGGCGCCAGCCTAGGGGGCGGGAGCTACAGATTTGCACCCAAGGTTTACAAACTGCCCTTTCGCCCTGGGTTCCCGACGGGACAGAGCCGAGTGGGCCCTGTCCAAGGGAGATGGGAACCGCGCTGGTAGCTTCTGGTCGCAGTCACCCTAAACTCCTTTCACTTACACCCACGCGATAGCACTCCCTCTAGGGGTCACGTCACCAAGGTCAAATCGAGAAGTCTCTCTTGATTGGAGAATAAATATTGCCCACCACAAACATTATGAACCCCAAAAGTTTTCAATTCACACCACACCACAGATGGCGTTCTTTGACAACATGCCGCAATCTTTAAAAGTTTACTTTTCACTTATTCATGATACAATTAAAAAAAAAAAAAAAACTTACAAAATGATTTGTATAGTGTAGGCCAGTTTTTTAAAAACTGCCTAGAAAAAAATTAAAAGATATTCATCAAAATATTAATACTTGTAGGATCATCAATGAATTTTATCTTACTACAAACATACCTCGTTTTATTGCGCTTTGCTTTACTGCGTTGGGGGTAGGGTGTGTGTGGGTGTGTGTGTGTATGTGTGTTTTAAGCAAATTGAAAGTTTGTGCAACTCTGCATGCGCAAGTCTATTGCCTCTTTTTCCAAACGCATGTGTTCACTTCGTGTCTCTGTCACATTTTGATAATTCTCACAATATTTCAAACTTGTTTATAATGCTATTGCACACTTACTATACTGCAGTATAGTGTAAGCATAACTATTTATTTATTTGTGATTTGGGTGAAAGTTTGCAGAGCAAATTCACTTTCCATACAGCAGTTCACATACACTTTGTCTCATGACATCGACTACAGTTTACCACAATGCAACAGCTCCCCTCTCACTTCCTCCCCATAGTTACCTCTTTCCTTTGTGCTTTCCTCCACACACTCCTGCCCCCTGAGCTATGTCCCTGTGCATACACAGCCCTTCTAGTCTCCTATGATTGTTCTTTCCAAGGAGTGTATTTACCTAGTGTAAATGTTCACCTCATATGCCTGTCTTTTGTTTGGCTGAAAGCCAAAACTTTTATATGTACTGGGAAACAAACAAATTCTTGTGACTCATTTTATTGTGATACTTTATTGCAGTGATCTGTAACCTAATCTGCAATATCTCCTAGGTACACCTGTATTAAGTATGTTTTAAATCTACAATTCATATCTATCACTGTGTGGACTGAATTGTGTCCCTTAGAAATACGTGTTGTAAATCCTAGCCTCTATGCCTGTGGTTGAGGAGCCTTGGTGACACAGTGGTTAAAGTGCTTGGCTGCTAACCAAAGGGCGGGAGAAAGATGTGTCAGTAAAGATTAAATCCACAGCCATAGAGCAGATTCAGAATTGTAGGAACCTTATAGGTCAGAGTAGAACTGCCCCATATGGTTTGCAAGACTGTAAATCTTTATGGAAGCAGGTATCTTTCTTCCTCAGAGCAGGGGTAGATTAGGACTGATGACCTTTGGGTTAGCAGCCGAACCACTGTGCTACCAGGCCTCCTTCATAAGGATTCACAGCCTTGTGGTTATAATCCCATCTGGGAATGGGTTGCCTTTGGCATATTAATAAGATGGAATTAGTGTAGAGTATATTTTGAAACAATCTCTTTGAGATATAAAAGAGATTAAATAAGCAAATGAGAGAAACAGAGATGGGGGCAAGAGAGATGCCAAGTCTCAGGAAGATCTCCCAGGAGCAAAAGCTCAGAGAGACAAAGACTTTCCTCCAGAGCCCATAGAGAGAGCAAGCCTTCTGACACTCGAGTTCAGACTTCTAGCCTCCTAAACTGTGAAAAAGACATTTGTTTGTAAAAGCCACCCAGTTGTGGTATTTGTTAAGCAGCATTAGATAACTAAGACAATCACTTTTACATTAAAAAACAATTATTTAAAAACCATTGCCCACAGATAACTTCAGATATTTAAAAGCAGCAATATAGTGAAATTTTATAAGCTTTAAAAGGGAATAGTGAAATGATATTTTTTTTCACTTACGTATTAATAATCTATATAATCTTTTAACAAACCTTGTTTCCAGCTTCTTGGAATTCTTCCAAACCAGGTGAAGTAGTGCCGATATGGTTTTACTATTTCATTCACAAACTTGACCAAAAAAAAAGAGGAAAGCCTGACTGACTATAGCACATCAATGCCCAATAAACTGTGAGGAACTTGTTTTCTCTTGGTTGCATAATTTGACACTCCCAGGATTTAGCTGTAAATTTATATCTTCGTATACTTGAGATAAATGAAGCCTAAATTAATTGATTGTAATTGAAGCAAACTTCTGCAACCTAAATTCACCCCTTTCAGCTGTAATGTGAAAAGCCTACAAAATGATTTGCAGACTGAAGACAGCTTAGGAGAAATTATTTAGAAAGAACCGGTATGAAACATACAGAGACACAATAATGAAATGAAGTTTTGCATCAAAGGAGAGAAGAGCGTATTGTTAGCAATTCAAGTTACTTATTGAAGCTACTTTATCAGAGAAAGTAGACAATGAGTCCAGGAGACGGGAAATACGAAAGTCATATATGACATGGTTGTTGCCCTCAAGGAGTTTATGAAGTATTTGGTATTTCCTTATTGAGCAACAAAATTCCCATTAAGTTTAGAATGAATGAAATAACCCTTACTTTTACAAAACTGCAGTTGGCTGGGAGTGTATTATTTCAGGCATCTGCAGAGTACATATTTTCAAAGGGAGGAGAACAATATGATAAGAGTCTAAACATGTCTAAGGAATATAAACACTAAGGGAAAGCTGTAGTTCACCACAAGAAAAGGGAACCTCAGTCTCAGATCACCCCTATCAAAGAGGTTCCCAGTCTCTGCAGACATTGACGTAAGATTCTCTTCGTTTGAGAGCCTGGGCCCTTGCCTTGACTTCTGAACTTACTTACTGTGCTATGGTGCACAAATACTACATGCCAAGAAATTCCAGGCACCATGGTGTCCAGGCACCATGGAAACCCTTTTTATTGCCAATCCCTCTTGGTCTACTATTTTTTTTTTTTTTCGCCTGACTGGTTTTAAATTCGACTCTTAAACATTTTCACTAATGTCTGAATTCTTTGCTGTCTTTGGAAAAACTTCCCTCCATATGTTTCCACCGTGCCAGAATTGTGGTACCTAGCTCCATAACCGTCTTCAAGTAAGCCTTCTTAGTGCACAAAGTTTGGATAATGGTGATACATTCACTCATAGAATTCATCTTCTTCTCCATACTCTAATCAGGGCTTCAAACTGGTTCATTCCAGTCCAACCCCATGCTGAGAATTTGCATTTCCACCTCAGATATACTGAATGAGAATCTACATTTTAACAAGATCCCTAAGAATCACCTAGGGATCTGTATGAATCACCTGGGGATCATGGTAAAATGTAAATTCTGATTCAGCTTATCTGTGTGGAAATGCAAATCCTCAGCAAGGTGTCAGACCAGAATGAACCAGTCTGAAGCTCTGGCTCAAATCTGCCAAACTGCAAAACCCTAGAAAGTTAACAACTGTTTCAAAATCCTTGAAGCTTCTTCCCTCTTCTCATTTTCCCTCAGCTATATTCAGGATTTGAGTCAGAAGAATTTTCAGAATCTCTTGGAATTATAGTTGAAATTCTATTTTATTCAACTTAGTTGAAGCCTATGAGGTAGCTAGTTTCTGAAGATGGTACCCAATAAACTGCTCTTCTTGATACTGTGGTCCTTCCCAACACTGAATCATGGCTGGCCCTGTCACTTGCTTTAACTTACGGAAGGAGGCTGAAAGTGACACTGTGCGAGGCCCATGCTTGAGCCATAAGAAGGCCTGGTGCTTTTCAATTTTCCACTCTTGAAAGTCAACCGTCATGTAAGAGTGTGACTTCCTACGAAAGGACCCAGCAGAAGCCCTGGAGAATGAGATTCTAAGTGGAGAAAGAGGGTACATGAACCAAGATACCATCTGGTGAATGAAGAAACCGTTTTGGACTTACCAGTCCCAGAGGATCTCAGGCCCATCTACTATCTGACTGCAAGAGTGTCTCCAAGCAAGACCTATAAAAGACTACCTGGTTGAATCTAGTCAATCTAAAGAATTATGAGAAATTATGATAAACTCTTTTCAGCTACTAAATTTGGAGGTGGTTTGTTTCACAGCAATATATAACCAAATAGCACATCCATACTAACTATCAAAAGGAGGTTTCTTAACTCAAAACACCTCAACAACAAGAAGATTAACAATCCAATTAAAAAATGGGTAGAAGACATGAATAGACACTTCACCAAAGAGGATATTCAGGAAGCCAGCAAATACATGAAGAAATGCTCACGATCATTAGTCGTCAGAAAGATGGAAATCAAGACAACAATGAGATACCATCTCACCCCAGCGCTAATGGCAAAGTACAACAAGACAGAAAATAATAAAGTCTGGCAAGGATGTGGAGAGATTGGGACTCTCATATGCTCCTGGTGGGCCTGTAAAACGATACAACCACTG